CTTCTATCCTTCCGAGGTGGGTAAAATTAGTACCCAGATTGTTGGGGGCAATATGCTGACTCTCTGTAAACCGCTTAGAGAGGCCTGAAAGGCCTATGAAGCGGTATATAAGTCTACTGCTATTGCTATAGGCAGCTCACATTGCAGTCCAATAAAACAATAAATAAGACCAACCAAATCATACAACATCATATATCCCTACCACAGCACCACAACTTTCCAACAACTCAACATACATTTTGCTGGACTCCGTTCCATACTAATAAGTTTCTTTCAAAATATATCCTCTACCAATTGCGGATAGCATGCTTGGGACTACTAAAATGTGCCAATCAGAAATATGGAAAAAGAAAAAGCTCCTGTAGTGCCTGTTATTTGGTTACCTTGTTTCCTTCCCCAAACTGAAGCTCGCAGTTAAAACCAATTTTAGGAGTCCAGAGAAAGAAAATTAAGACTGATGAGAAATTCTAAATGTGTGACACAATTTAGTAGTGTTAAGAGTGTAACTTGGGAACAAATTTACTGGAAGAAAAGGAAACAAGTACAAATCCTGCATGAAGACTATGAGAGAATCTATTAATTTCCACAGAGGAAAGAGAATATGAAAGCTGCTTAAAATGGTAAAAATAATTATGTATTATATAAATCAATGCGGTTACAATAATCAAATGTATGAAAAAGGTTTGATAAAATGAAAAAGGCTGTGGAAGAGAAAAAAAATGGTATATAATAAAATGATTGTAGCAAAAAATGAAATTGAGAGGAAGATAATGAAATCTACACACAAAAAAGGTGTTTATGTATAGAATGCAATGAAGGAAAATTGTTAAGATTAAAAGTGTAAGAAAATGCAGAAATTTTCATATAAATAAATAGATTGGGAAGTATGGAAAAGGCTAAACAAAATGGATTATTTCAATTATTCTCTTTGCAACATCTGGATCCTACCTGATTAAAATGAAATCTGAACAAAATGATACAGATTTAGGAATAACAATGAGCACTTGATGTGATTCGTACACGACCACTTTTTCACACAGTTCTAATTGAGGCTCTTGGTTGGGGAAGGGGAAAAAGGAATTTTCTGAAATGTACAATAGGAATACTGCACTTGCTTCATTATTAATGTGTTAAAGAAATCTATTTGGATTGAATGTAATAATGCCTTTTTTCACAGGAGAGCATTGCTGGAGGAATTCTATCCATTTTAAATGTTAAGTAAAAACCTATCCAAATAATGTCGATAATTATATTTTTCTTTAATTTTGTTAATACAGTAATGGTTTGTTTTGTGTATCACAGGGTCTGTTGAATGTCTTGCTCAATGTTCCTTAAACCTAAATATTTCCAGATGTTTTGATTACTTCATTTCAAAGCTCATCATAAAAATATGCATACAGTATATGTTATACGAAACTAGAACTAGAAAATATTGGTTTACCTATAACTTTAAATACCTATAAGCCACTTCTTGTTTACCTTGACAATATATTCTGATGAATCCATTGCCTCTTTTTTAAATAATTGCATGTTCTGATTTTTTTTGATATTGCTCAGATTCTGTCACCAAGAGGGTCTCAACCGCTACCTTCAAATTTAAATCTATGAGGGTTTTCATCTGCAGATTCTCATCTCCTCAAAAATTACTCCCAACCTGGTACCTCACATGTTCTGCAACTCCTACCACTGTAGCTAGTTTGGAATAGCAAATTACAATGTGTGCGTATGTAAACAAAGTAACTGAGATCAAAGTTTGCCTCTCTATACACAGAAGATGATTGGAATTATTAATGAAGTAGCTTTATATAAAAACCCCATAAGTTTTGTGGGAGGTTAAAAAAAGATACAGCATAGAAGAATAATTGGGGGGGGAATCAAAATACGACATAACATATTCTAGGACATATTTGTTAGTCAAAAACAAAATTTCACATCATTTTATCTTGTAGCTTATCTTTCATCCTTTACCAAAATTATGCAGCTTGTGTCTGGGTAAACATACATAGGATGCAAGAAGCAGAGAAAAGTTGGTGTAATAATGATGTGATAATGAATGAGAGAGAAAACTCTTAGCAAGAACATGTACAAAAGATTAGAGTCTGCTGGCTTCACTAAAGTGTGTTTGCTCTCTTACATCCTGGTTACTGCCTAGCTTTCCCAATCTCAAGGCTAGATTTAGAGATGAGGAAGCCCTAAACTTAACTGAAGCTGTAGAAGCTTTATTGGCAAATACTAACAGAAAATAAAAATTATATAACATCTGAACTTGGCAAGAATGTCCTGAAGATGCATAACAACTCTGATAGAGTGGGAAAGGGCCCTCTTGGAACAGAAAATGAATGTGCACAGAAACTAAGCATATCTTAATTAAATAAGAAGAATGTGAGTCATACAGGAGTGCTTAATTTATAGAGATTCTCATGTACTATATGAAATTATAATGAAAGGATAACAAAAGAGAAAAACAACAGACATTTTGAGAGGCTCCTTCAGATTGTGAGACTCTAGGCTACAGTGTAGTCCTTAGCTTAAGCCTATATCTGGGCAATCCAGTTTTCTTTAGTTTTGCTTGGATTACCATTTCTACCCAACTCAGAGAAGAGGTCTCTTTTCTTCATGTATGAGATTTGAAATTGTTTATTGGAGCAGCACATTATACTTTACACATTTTATGTTGCATTTTTTAAATTGTCATGTATTTTTTCAATTAAAGGTTTATACCAAGGACTAAATATTAGGATGATAGACACTGTAGTAACCAACATATATTATTGGTAAAGGTAAATGCTGGACTATCAAAAGACCTATTAACTGGTGGGTTAGGAACAATTATTGGTTCACAAATAAATGGTCTCCCAACTCTGGAATTAATTAAGATAGGTTTTAAATCTAAAGATATCCAAAGTACATATCACCGTACTCAATTAAATACTACTTTTGCATAACTTCATAGATCTATGTAGTTGCTAGATTAGAAAGGAAAACACAATTGGGAGGTTGTGGGTGTGTCTTAAAGAAACTATTTTCTCCCGGATTCACTTAACAGAAATATACAATGAATGTAAGGAGATACAAAGTAGAGTGTACATCCCAAACCACTGTTTTCACTATAAATCTGGATCGTTGTTGAATTCTACACTGTATTTTGTATATATCACCTCAAAGTAGAGGTGTACTATATATTTGTCTAGTTCCATGAATAAAGGTAAAACATCCAAATGCCATCTTTTGTAACACTTCTTCAGAGAGATTCCAGTGTGCACCACTAGAGGCTACTGTTTTCCTTTTCATAAAAGCAAGCATCTTTGCTCACTATTATTTATTGTTAAACTAGTCAATGCA